TATACTCTTAAGTATGTTATAAGGTCAATCAATGCAAAGAATTGCATTGCGAAATAATTTTCCATTGTCCGAATGAAAATTTTTTAAATTTTTTCTCGTCACCATCAACCTTGTATATTTTATTGTGTTGTTACTTATTTATTGTATAGATGTTTTTGCGGCGTTAGCAAAATTATTATCATATTAGTATCTTATGTTGTGTGTGCGTGTTTCAAAAAATGAAATATCAATTCAGAGTCTTAAATTATAGATTATCTTACCATAGTCGATAATTTAAATCGTGTAATAATTAATATTATTTTCGGTGTTTGAAAAATACATATGTACAATAATATTGTATCTTAAATTATGATGGTACTATTTTTTAGACATTATAATTGCGTTAACATAATATTGTGCTATCGTTCAATGTATATACTATATAATTTAATTCTACAGCCTAATGGTTAATTACTTCAAGAAAGTTATCAATCAACTTTTTAAATTTTATCTTAGTAATAGTTGAACACGCTGTTTAACTGCATTTATTCATTTATGTTTTAATTCAAAAATTAATTCAGATGGAACCCGTATAAATTGTTCCTAGATACAAATTTGTTTTAAGCACTTCCCTACCCTCCTAATCTACAACACTGCTGTTCCTTTTTTAGATAATTATTTAATAACTTCTTGTTTTTTTTATGCTTAGAACTAATATGTAACTAGTTTTAAAGTTAATGGGTGTTAAAATTAGAAACCTCATTGTATCATATAACCAATACCTAAATAATCGAACTAATATTTTGTGTTACTTGCTACCATTACTATATTTAAATATAATTTTTTTAAATAAACTAAAAATTGTATAATGTTCCGTGATGGTTTTATTTCGGTGTGAATTAGATAAATATTGATAAATATTATGAAAAGAAAGCGAAGGCTTTTACATCTAGTTTCAACGTTTTTTTTTTTAAGTTCCATTGTTGATTTAAGAAGAGGAGGAAGTCGGGTATAATTTTTTTCATGGCATAAAATGCTATACATTTTTTTATCTCAAATTAGTACCTACTATTTAAAATTTAATAACAAACTTTATTAGGTACTTTATTCTACTTAGATTATGTGGATTAATTATGAACAATAGGTATATTAGAACTTATTTCTGTCGGTCATATAAACATGAATATTATTTAATAATCATAGTTTTTATCATATAGCAATAATAAATTAAATAGACTATAAACATTAATTTTAATTTCTGTACCATAATTAAAATATTAAAAGGTTTTATTTGTTTTTTCCTAACAATAGATGTTTTTAATTATTTTTTTTTATAAAATTCTATATTTTTTAATATCTGAGATATTCTATTTTATTATTACTATTTACAATACGTCAGTATAATATGTTTCGTTTCATTTAATACAAATAATTATTATCCAAATATGAATACATCAAGACAAATAAATTATATCGTTATTATCTAAGTTGCAATGCTGTTGTCAGCATTTGTTTGTTAAATTTATAGCGATAGGCCAGTACATTGAAATCATTTAAAGTTTTATTAGTGTTATACTATTCTTAATATGTGTGCAAGTGCATTCACAAATAAAAATGAAATGTTTTTTTTACCTGGAAGATTTACGACCTCCCATGGGTGCGTTAAACTTTTAATCTTCCTGATCTCTATTTAAACACTATCGTGACGAAATTATAACATTACAACACTTTTTTATACAATATTTAACACGTAATATTAGATACTGGGATCGGACAAGAGGGAATGAAGACAAACACAATATTATAGATAGAGCCATAAAGCCAAAGCTCATATGTCACATGATTTACATTTATCTGTTTCGCGTATATTAGCTATAGCTATATTATACGCTCCGCACTTTTTATTTCGAATAAACTGCGTGACAATTCTGCAGTGGGGATATTATAGTAAAAACTTTAATAAAGGATATCCCTAATCCTGTACAATTTACGTAAGAGTCTTCAAAATTCAAATATTTATAATGTATGTTACACAGTGGCCTCAAATTAATCATGTTTAAATATATTATACACATACTCATTACTCATACGTTTCGAATTTAGTTTTAAGAAGATGCAATAAATGTATATTTGTATTGGCCTAAACAAGTGTAGTATGGCAAAATCGGTTTTCACAAACTTTCAATGTAACGTGCAAGTCTTAAGTTATAATTGATTAGGACATAATATTATGGACAGTGGACATGTGTTATAAATTTTAAAGTAGAACATTGTTATAACGTCGAATAAGTAACATTTAAAGTGTTTATAAAAGTAATTCAAAATAAAATGTTGTCGCGCACTGCATAGTCTTATAAGCAATCAAACTGGGCGATTTAATCCAGTTAGATTAAGTCATGAGTTTATCCCCTATAATTTAAAGATAAAAACTGTTCGGCAGTTCTATTTTTTTGTGTCAGCCGAACTCGTGGGAAGTGAAGTTACAAACAATTTTAACGCATTTATGACCGCACACTTTAAATACATAGCGCATACAAAAATAGGGACGGGTAATCACACCCACGAGAACCAATTCTAATGATTTTAATTTGTAAGTTAGGCGATAGAAAATAGAAATTCCTATGGTAAAAACAAAGTTTATCAAATTATATTACAAGACAGTGTTGTAGCAAGAATATTTTTTTGGGGGAAGGGGGCACTGCATTTAGAAATGTTAGCATATGCCATAATACGCTTATTACTTATCGGATATTAGATTTTTTTATGAAAAGGTTATTGGTAATACAGCTATTTGCTATTATAGTCATACAGAACACTGAGATTATATGTTAAACATATAGCCGTGTGATCCACAGTAAAAATATTCTGTTGTATATAATAGTAGATTCTGCAATATAATTACCCACGATATTAGTATAACACCATACGAAATTTAAAAATTATAATACACGGTTTTCTTATTTAACACCGGTGCTAGCATAAATAATATAAGAATAAATATAAATTCACATATTATCTATTATCATAATCTTCAGTCAATTGTAAGGTTAGGTTTATACACAAAATAAACCTTTTATAAATTCAAATTAATTATCATAGCTTCACTTTGTATACCTATTAAATCAATAATATTTGGTACTTATTTCTGTATACAATACTAATCAATCTAATATGAGGAGGATTTGCCCTTATTGCCTTCTCCCCGTAGCTATGACATTAGAACATGGTAGTTTTGAATTTTTGAATGAACTACCTAACCGCAATTAAAAGCATTCTGGCTCGTGTCGACTATAATATTTTTAAGCCCTCTATGGAGTATTGAGTCCCTTATAGCAAGAACGGCACAGAAGACAGAACGAAACAACTTCGATATCACTGTATACTAAATACCTTTATACTAAGTATAATAATATGTTATGTGTACCTATACACTGTTTTTACCGTGCTGCATAGAACGATTGGGTGGTTTAACAAAAAAGATAACCGTAGTCAGAGTCCGCCTGGTCACGATTCAAAAGTATTGTCATGCGGTTTTGTTGGGTATTTTTTATAGAATTAATGATTTCGTATCCTTATTAAAAGGCAATTAAAAAACAAAACTTTTAATGTAATTATTTAGTTGTTTCGTTTGTATAATATCATATTTTATATAAGTGTAGTTTTTCTCGAGGCCACGGAGAATAATCCTATAAATAGTCATGTGATAAAATGCCGATAACGATAATGCTCTCGAGTCTCGACTGTATGTATATAGGTACGTACTTACGTGTCTCGTACCTATTACGAGTGCACTGCAATTTCACTTCAACAAAACAAATTTATGTCTGCTGGATGGTGGACTGGTGCTGCGGTGGCGAGGAAAACGTACCCCTCGTCGTGTGGGCAGTGGTGTGTACTCGCGAGACAAGTCTCATTAAAAGTTTACCAGTATATCACCGTCAACATACATATTGTATAAATACTGCCGTATAGTATTCGTATTATGCAAGCAGTATTTTTTCCCCTTAGGTATTATTATTATTGTGTATGCGTACAGGAAATCGGACTGCCGGGGATTATGTATTTTTTTTCGTGGCACCTCGATAATGGTTAAATCGTAAAACGCAGTTTTTTAATCGTATTTTTACAATTGGAAAGTTCAAATTTGACTGAGTGTAATAAATTTTTTTTCTTCCAAAACGCTTCGCTGATTTTCCATCCGACACATTAAGCGAATGCTAACCATACAGGTCTTTTTACCGATAACTACCCACGGCTAATACGGTCGTTTAATTGAATCGCTCGATCTTACGCCGCCGTCCGCACTTTTATCAACATAATAATAATTATTTCCGAAATTGCGCATACGTTTTATGGTGACTTGCTGCTGACATTTTTGGATTTTAGCCTTGTGTATTTTTCAAGGTTGTGTTCGGCGGTATTCGTTCCGTTTTCCCGTGTATACCATATAACGTTCGCTGTGCCTATATTTTTCTCGATCAGTCTATAAGTAGTCGATGTATTATAATTGAGCAGGTAATAATCGAAACTTTAAAACCACAGCCTTGAAAATAGAATAATATGTTTCTGGCCTCCGTCCGAACCGTAAGTGACCAAGTCAGAGACAGACCCGCGGATAATTGTCCACTCGGTGTAACTACACCAATATAATTGTTGATAATAGTGTTAGGTATAAATTTATATTACACATTATTGGTATTACAGTATTAGTGTATGGTACATAAAATATTAAAATGTAAATTTTTCAATCTCTATTTGCTATTGTCGACTACCATATCGATTCATCTTGACCCTTTGCAAATATATTATGTTTATGGTTGGTTTCAAAATCATCCCTGTAATATTTTTAATAATAAGTGTAGGTTATCTATAGTCCATACTTAACACTATAATCACACTAAATATTGTTTGTGAAAATAGACTATTCTTCTTTATTAATAATTTTCCTAGTAAAATGTTATTAGTTTTTTGTACTTATCATTATTTCTTACTAAATCTCGACTTGAATATTTATGTTTCAGTATGGTGGTGATGAATTTACACCAGACCCAGCTAGATTTGCTGCTCAAAAACCAGGTTCATCTGTGTACAATGCTGATTCTTATTACTTGGGTAATTAGTGTAATTTAAATAAATGAAAAATATTTTTTAAAAATTCTAATTTCATTGTTTAATAATTTTTTTTTTGTACAAACATCTATGATCTTTAGACGGCACAGGAAATAATAGCGATGTTTGGACAACTAGTGCTACTGCTCAACTTCAGTCTCCTACAACGTATACAACATATACCAACCCACCCAATTCGTTGCTGACCACGTCTCCAAACATGACGCCAAACAATTTTCCGCCAACAAATACTATGCTAACACCAGAAAATTTGGTGAGAATATATAATTTATTTTTAGTCACTTATAAGGGCTGAAGCTAACATTTTAAATTAAATTTGGAATAATTCTAATTTAACGGGAGGTCATTTGAGCTTTATTAATGTGTATATTGCGGCAAACTACACTGTACAAACAAATTCCCCTTCAATGGTAACATCGAGTTAATACATAAAAAAATCAACATTCATAAAATATGTAGGTACAATATTCAGATCTTGTTATATGTAGCCCTTCTTATTTAATATTATGTTGTATGTGGTAAAATCGTATTCAAATTGTTAACTTTTGTTTTTAAAAATTTTCTTTTAACTAAATTCCAATTTTTAGTAAATTTATCTTCAATAAAGAAAAATTGAATAATAGTTTATTTTAGTTTATTTTTTAATAGTTTATTAATTTTTAAATTTAGAGATTTTCTGATAAATATTCTTAGTTAAATCACTTTAATGTATTCTAATTTAAAATTAATTTACATTTTAAAAACCTAATACTCATAGGGACGTAACAATTTTGTTATTTCTTAATATTTTACGGTCAAAATAAAAACTTAATTATTTAACGGAATATAATAATAATAATTTATTATATTTGTGTATTTTTTTTCGCATTTGACTTGAACAATTTTATTTTGATCATATTGTTAATAATTAAAAAGCTGGGAACACTTTATTAAAATGTTAAATTTAATATTATTTTAGATAATTATATAATATAATTATAGCCTGACAAAAACATTAATAATTCATAAATAGGTAACATTTTTTTATTACATAAATTATTGAACTATATTCTTATAATAAAAATATATTTTCTCATTTGTACTTTAAAATGTTAACATTTATTTATCAACTTCATATTTTAGTTCTTAAGGTTACCTATAATAATTTATTTTTGTGTTTATACTACACAAAAGCATATTATGCAGATTTCAATGTTTAAATACCAACTTTAAATTAGCATTAGCATAGAATATTACAAGGTTTTAAACTGTAGCTTTATGAAACAAAAAAAAAGACAATTTAGTTTATAATAATGCATGACTAAAATAGTTGGTTTTGAAAACTAATGAAATTGTTGTAATTTCAAACTGGCAATTAAAGTATCTATGTGAAATCCTCAATTCTAAATTAAATTATACAATTTTGTTGTAAACAATTTTTGTATACTAGTTTATATTTATTAAAAATAAACCTCTCCACATATCCATCAAAAGCTCTCTCACTCTTCCTATTTTATTTTAAAAAAATTAATATTTTACTACTTAGATTTGAATATAGAATATTATTTAAGATTTTAAATGAAACATAATTATTTTTGTATTTATTAAAAAAATCTCAGTTTTTCCAAAATGTATTCTTAAATTTAATACAATATTTTTAATAGTCACATAATATAATACATGACAAGTATGTATTTATTTGTAAGGATGGGTACATAATCTAAGAAAATACTTTATATTACCATGATATTTTTATTCTATTCCAGTACTTTTACATAAAATTGAGAGACAATTTAATTTAATTATTTTTAAAATAACTTTGATATTGGTATTTTTAATGGGACTCATTAAAAATATATTACCTTTTTTTTATCTTATAATTTTTTTACACTTTTTTAAGCTAAAATTAAATTTGATCTTAAACAATTGTCATCTTTTATTTGAATATACTTATAATTTTTAATAACTTATAGTTATATTTAATTTACTTGACCTCATTAGTTTAAGAGAATAAATTATATTTCAATTTTACTATTTATCACAATATCTTATAATTTTTAAATAAATATTATAATAACAGTTCAATAATTGTTTTGTATTAAATAATGTAAATGAGCTATATTTATTTTTTCTTTAATTGTTAAAATTTTCTATTTTTATTTTTATTTTTTTTATACATCTGAGTCATAAGTTTGGTGATAATAAATGTTTATTTTTCACAGGGCTTTAATACTATTGGTCCAAATGCTAGTATACCTCCTAGTGGTGTTTCACCTGCTACAGATGGCCTAGGCACTTCCCCTCTACCACCTATGTCAAGTTTGCGTGGAGCTCCTCCTTCTGCTCCAAGTCCAATTGCAGTAACCCCTAGCTCAATGATGTACCCAGGACATAACAGTCCCACTATTCAAACTCCCGGGGATACACTTGTCAAAACTTTAGCATCAGTACGATAAATTTATTTATTTATTTGCTTTATTTGAATATACATAATTAACCTACATTTATATAATATATATACGCTGGGATATTATTAAGGTATGCTTAAATAGTTACCATTGAAGGATTTTTGTTGCTTTTATTAACAAATAACACTAACAAGAATCATAGCGATTCACTAAACATTTCTTATAACTGTTAGGTTTAGAAGTATGTTTTTCTTTGTTGTGAAAAATACCTGAATCCTATCCTTGTCATTTTATACAACCCTAGCGGTACGATTACAGTATTCTGGACCTACGTCAGTGGTTAAGAATTATTTCAAAATTAATTTGTTAAATAAAAAAAAAATTCGATTTCTTAAAATACAACAATGTGTTGTAGATATATCCCACTGACCAGAGTGTCAGCAGTTACAGTTCAAATCCATCTACACCTGTAAGTTCACCACCACCTTTGGCACCTTTAGCGCCTGCAAACAGTGCCGGATCTTGGACCCCTGGCGTAGTACCACCTCATCCTGGATCTCCTCATTTTCCTACTGACCATCGCACTATTCATTTGGTATGTAATATTCTAACATTTCTAACTTTTAAGTATAATAGCTACAATTAGTACTAACATAAATTGCTTGAATGTGGGTTGGTGTAAATTCTTGTATTATTTCTGTTTCTGTAATTTGTTTTTACAAGTAAATTTTTTGTTTGTATTATAGGGTAGTCGTATGGAAGAAAGACTGGACGATGCCATAAATGTTTTACGAAATCATGCCGAAAGTCAGGCTTTAAGTTTAGCTGGTGTTCAACATTCCGCTTCAGGCATTGTACCATTGTATCATCAACATTTAGTAAGTTACAATGTTTTTAAGTTTTTTTTTTCTTAATCTTTTACTCGTAGTACTTTATATTTATAATTTATTGTTTTGCTTTTAGGGAAGTCCCCATTCAGCGACTGCTACAGTTGGAGGTGTTCCAAATACTTACCAAACACTTTCAACATGTCAAGACAGTGATGGGCCAATCAAAATTGAAAGACTAAGCAATATCAGTATGTACTCATCAAAATATTTTTTTTAACTAATTCCTATATTTTTAATTTTTCAAACATAATTTTAATCTTAATGTTGTTTTCTTTTTATTGTAGAAAAACGGAAAGAACCTCCAGACAGTTCAGATACCAAGCCTACTAGCAGTGATCACTTGTTAGTAAATAACATCGTTAATGCCAATTCACCCCCAAACAATTCGCCTATAAATAAAAATTCAAAACGACCCCGTCAATAGTAAGTTTAATGTGCAATTTTTGCCCCTTTTATTTTTAAAGACACATTAACTTAACTTAACTTCAGATTTTGCTTCGTTGAGGTGTCTTAGCCGTGTAATTATAAGAGCCTCAAACGAACAAATATCCATCTAAAATAAATCTAATACATGTAAATTCTCTACTAAATATTTAACATTTTGCGAGTTAATTTTTATAAATTTGTTAGTTTAGGTAAATTTGCACAAGACTCTTTTACTATTTCTCCGTTATAACTAAAATGTAAATTTAATTTAAATTATTTAGCGACACAACAGTGTCACAAAGCAACGTAAAAAAAAAATGTAACAACACGACACAACCATGTCTGTATACTGAAAACCAAACATTTCTATTTAAATTGTGTAAAGACTGTTTTATTTGGTAATCCTTACAGCCTAGTTAGTGAATCAAATCATTAGAATGATGTATTGACAAATTTAGAAACATAAGCAATTCTTTTCAAAAACTTATATTGGATATTATCAAGATCATTTATATATTTTGTGTTATCACAAGACTAAATGAGTGAACTAAATTCTAAGTTAGATTTTACTAATGACATATATAGTGCTTTTAAACTCTTGTATTTCTATTCATAAAAACTAACATATTATATGATTTGTTTTTAATCATTCTATAATTAGAAAATATTAGATAAAAATTTTCAAAGTAGACATCCAAGTCTTTCTTTGACTTTAACTCAATTGAAAGAATAGTTATTAATTTGATACTGATACATTATTGGATTTTTGCTATGTGTAAAATAAATTACTCAGAATTTATTAATATTTAGAGAAAGAAGATTTTCTTCACACCATTAAAAAAACTTATTAATACCAGATTGTAAGATATTTGCATCATAAATAGTTTTTCAGGCTGTTGAAAGCAAGTTGTTTTTCCGTGCATTTAGACCATCAAACGAAAGACAAATAAATATAATTCCAGAAGTCCTTTATTATTTTGAAAAATTATTGTTTGTGTTTTGTATGAAATAATTTTTTTTTAGTAACACTTAAGTAAAAGTGAATTTCAATAAAAAAGAAAATATATTTGGTATTATACTTATTAATCAATATAAAAAATCAAAAATCCATTTACTACATAACCTAGAAAAGAGAATGAGGAATTCAAATATGTTTTCAAAATTAAAATCTAGCTTTCTGTAGGTACTGGGTGAATTTGTTTTCCGTTTTTTGAGACTTCGTTGAAACTTTTTTGTAAAGTAACAAACAACAAAATATAGCGACGTGTGACTGCACATATGTAATTTATGGATTTCCGAGAATCTTAGACGTAGTTTATCTTTAATAACATAAAGTTTTTGGGGAACTCACTCTCACTAATGATCAGTCACTACACACACAGTGACACATCACTCACGATGGATCTAGGATATTGCCTAAATCTATATTGCCCTTAAAAATGGTTCACTTTCAACAGCCTTAATTTCAAAGTATAGTTTTGTGTCATCTGCATGGTATTATCATTTAGTATAACAGTAAATTAGTATTGTGTGAATACAATATAATTAATAAACTGTTCCATAGAACATTAGGCTTAGTTACTAAAAATAATATAAAACCATTAATATTCATAAATACATTTAGTACTGATAAAGAAAAACTGTAATGCTTTACCTAATCAATAAAAGTATCACTTCTACAATATGGCACATTAACTTATTTTACTATGGTAATACATTTTGTGTAATTGCGAGTATGAATGTTACATAACTTGTGTACTGATTCAAATGAAAATAAAACCATATATATATATGTGTGTGTTCTAATTTTTGTGTTAAGTTGACATTAAATATTGACATACCTCTATTGGACCTCACCTACACGCTTCATTCATAAAGATTATTAAATAAGATATTGACTTAAATTCTGACTGTTATTTTAGTTGTTCTAGTGCTGATGAAGATAATGAAGATCCATCGACTAAAGCACACAGAGAAAAAGAACGCAGACAAGCCAATAATGTCCGTGAAAGGTAAGTTCCTAAATAATTTAATTTTGTAAAATATCATTAAATAGTTTTTGATAAAGTAAAATTGAATGTAACCCATCACATTTGCTTAAATGTTTTGATTCAATATCTACTGTTATTGTTAATTTTGAAATGTATTATAATTATGTTTGTATAATGTTGGAATACATACATTTTTTTTTTAGATTAGACTATTTTAAATTACAATTCTTAGAACATTAAAAAATGAATTAGTAACTTTAAGTTTGAATCTAATGTTAAATATGATGTTTCGTATTGCTGTTGTACAAGTGTGGATGACGAGAGTGAAGATCCTGAATTAAAAGTTCAACGAGAAAAGGAGCGCCGCCAAGCAAATAACGCTCGAGAAAGGTGAGCTTTTTTGCCTGCAACTTATGTGCGGCTCTTGGCTCCTTTTTTTATATTATATTAATATCATGGTTTAATTTAAAATGTATTAACAACGATTTATGGTTATTTACATTTATATTGAATAGTGAAATTAAATAAATATAAAATATTTTTCTCATAAATCAGTAATCAATCCTTCATTTGAACTCAGTTCGTACCCCTTGTACACAGCTATGATCACCTAACAAATGCAAAATTATTTTTTTTTTTATCAATAATTTGTTCAAAATGTATTTTTTAATAGTCGTTATAAAAATAATATTATATTCCTCCATTATGTGTTTATATTGACAAAAATAGTTATTATTTTTATAATTAGTTATGTACTGTATTTTAATTTTAATTTGAAACAATTAGTCATTGGTAAATTATGATTATCAAAATTATTAAAATATTGTGCAACTAAAAATTTTTTTTAATAATTCATGTTATATCACAGTGATAATTTATTTTATATTTTCAGAATTCGAATTCGTGACATTAATGAAGCATTAAAAGAACTTGGCAGGATGTGTATGACACACCTAAAAACCGATAAACCTCAAACTAAACTGGGTATTCTCAACATGGCTGTTGAAGTAATCATGTCATTGGAACAACAAGTTCGAGGTAAATGATTGATTCTTATAATAATTGTAATTATTTTGAAATCATGTTTTATACTGTTACTTTTCTAATTTTTCCAGAAAGAAATCTTAATCCTAAAGCTGCTTGTCTAAAGAGGAGGGAAGAAGAAAAGGCCGAAGACAATGTTGGACCAAAATTGGGACATCATTTATCGGTAGCACAACACATGGTTGTCCAAGCACCACATTTTCCACCCATGACTTTGGTAAGTTTATTTCTAATAAGATTCTATTGATGAAAAATAGCAATTTCAAATTTAATCCAAAATCATTTATTTATAGCCAAATAATCAAGCAGGCTTGCCTCATAATGGACCCCAGTAGCGATGGAGTACAACTTCACCTCAAATGTTATGCTCTTAAGTAAGCTGGAGGTGATGGCATTAGTTTGCCTTTACATTAAATCTCCGTTGAAATATTGCCAAGTATATTATATTAGTGATATTTTTTATTCATATGACATTGTTTTTTTTTATATACTTGCAACATAAACGATTTTTTTGCCCTTTGTAAATAATACAAGCTAAGCCCGAAGTTTTAATAGACATTTAGATTATATATTTTAAATGTAAGACTGAATTCAGAGTATTTATCAGAGTATAAACGTACAATATTCAAATATTTTTGCTCTTGTTAAAAAAAAATATATATATTATCGTACATAAATTTTCATTTTCATCCTGAATTCAGTCTAAAATTCATACTTAATTTATACACTGAAATGTCTTAAATTTCCTAAGCCCCTTTCCGATATTAGATATGTCAATTTAAAATCAGTAAATAAATCACAATCATACCCAATAAAAAATTGCAGTAAGTACAAATTTGAACTCAAAACAAGTTCCCAATTTTCTTTTGCATCTTATCTGTATGTAGTATAATTACATTTTACTATTGTTTTTTACAATCGTTATCATTGGCGCAACTTATTCAATAAAATTAACATAATAAGCTCTTATTCTAGGTTAAAGCCTTTTTTACATTCCTTAAATATTCTTTACCAAATAATTATATACATATATGTATATTATTTTTAAAACAATTAACTGTTCTTATCTGTTTAAAAATGACTTGTTTATGTAAATAATATATAATACATTATATTTTGACCATGTGTGTTTGGCTTAAATCAAAAATACATGGTAAAAATAGTAATGGGAGGGGGCCCATATTGAACATAAATACTTGATAAATTAAAAACATATTTATTCTTCACTATCCAAAATAAATTAGATTGCTTGTATAATATATTATGCTAGTTGACCATTATATTAAAGAGCTACATAAGTAGTGAATATTACACAATGTTGAACATTAAAAAATCACCCTATCAAGTTGTGCTAATGATTTTTATAAAATAATATTCAAGTTACCGGTTACTTCTTAAGTTCGAGGGTTACAAATGTATTCTTAAAAAGTTGATAGCATTAATCTTATAACATTAACATCTTCTCTTAGACCCACTCCGTTTTCACTGTCATTAATAGTATGATTATGTATGATTTATTGAAAGTTGATTTATGCATTTATTAAGTATTGAATGAAAAGTTTTTTTTAATATTCATGATTTTTATTCATGTGATAAATACCAAATTATACTTTTTAGAAGAAAAATGTATGTGCTGAAGCTTTAATTTTTTTTTTTCTGATCATTGTTTATTAAATATATTTTTTTTCTTGACAGATTAATATTTTTTTTTTAAATATAACTATATATATATATATATATATATATATATCAATTTGCATTTCCTAGAGAAAAACAATTAATTTCATTACGTTTGCGCCAGTATTAATTTTACAATCAAAAGTATTATTACATTTTGAAACATATTTCTACAAATATATTTTGTAAATTTATTGTAAAAACCGTTTCCTAATAAGAAAAATCTCCATAGTAATAATATTTTTAATTTTAATTGTAGGTTATTTTAATTTTTACATTTAAAAGAACTTAACTTTATTTTTTTTAAGTGCTAAAATGTACCTTTAGATTATTCATTCGTTACTTGCTGCAATTTTAACATTTGTTCAGAATATAACAATAATGGTATCTATATATATTATGAAAATATTAAAATATCAATTATCAATCAAATTCAGTTTACAGTTAATTATTCAAGTTTTGAACATATTATGAGTGTAATTAAACATATGATATGAACAATTATTAGTGGTCAAAGTTGATTAAAACAATATTGAAATAACAAGATGAATTATTCAATTGTCATGAATAAAACCCATTTAAGTGAAAAGTTTTAATACCTAGTACTAGCACTCAGTTATACAAAAACAAAACATGTTTTCGCAAGAAGAATTAATAATATGAATTCGAACAAGATTAGGCGACTATAAATATTCAATTAATGGTAGATTGTCTTAAGCAGACAAATTATGGCATTTGAGAAAGATAAAAAGTTTTAAAATAAGTTCTTCTCGCTTCCCTCTACTTTGACCACTTGTAATTATTTTATACTATTAAAAATTTATGTTTCATGGTTTTAGTTACAGACAAAAGATAATTATAATATGGTTTTCTTTACAATTAAATATATGGTGCCTACTATAGTTATAACGAGTTATTTTCCAACAATTTCAAACTATGCCTCAAAAGTTGATCCTGATTTATTTGAAATTTATGAACTTATTTACATTGGTAAAGATTTAATCTTCATAAAAACTCTTAGTTACCAAGTTTCTATACTTTGCATTCTTAACAATTGTTTCTCAGTAGTCATTGTATGAGGAAATTGATATTTTTCAGAGGTTAGTCCAATATATGACCCACTTAGCAGCACAAATAACCCCAGTAAAGACTCACCACTATCATATTAATTATAACTACTTGGCATAGTTATTACTAAATTGTCACCTTTGGCCACCTCCCACTCCTTAAAATTCAATAATTACCTTCTTCTCCACACTACTACTGTCAGCTACCAAAGTGACATGTAATTTAGACCATCTATACCTATTGTCTGTATCTATCAATCATATACCTCATAATTGTTTTAAAATAAATAGTGTATTTATGTTGAAAATACAATTTTTATATGTGTATGAACGTTTATTTATAATAATAAATTTCAACATGTATGAAAAAATGTATTTACATTGACATTTAAATAATTATATTTAAAATTATTAAATATCAATTACATACTAGTATATCATGTACTATAACTAATCCTGTCCCATGTATACTGCTGTGGTAAAATATAAATATGTGTACTTAATAAATATTTTAATTATTGTATTATATAAATCCCACATAAATTAGGCTCATGTAAGACATGTTTTAGTAGTACATGTTGTACAAAATATAATGCTGCACTCAAAGTAAAACAACTAGTCAAAATATATACAAGTGTATTCATACTTAACCAATATTTACATAAGAATTATTATTGATTTTAAAACAGATAAGTCATGGTACAAAGCTATATAGTATACTTTAGTATTTAGTGCAATATTTTAAAATCAAAGATAATACCTAACAGAAGCTTGCAGTCAGACAATTTTTCATGGAATTTTGGAATTTTAAATACATTAGTCATATCTGTTGCTAAGTCTATCAATATTCTTAAATTCAATTTTATCTCAATTATTCACTTACTATCAACGAGATTTCATCCAATACCTTTTAATTCAAATTGTACAGACTTTTACCGAGTGCAGTGTTATATAGTATGTATTATTACTTTCCAGCCGTGGATATATTTAAAATAATTTTTAACTGTGAAATTCATTTTTTGTTTTAATTTGTATTCATTTTTAATTCTTGTATTATATTATTAATTCTATATATAAACTTATTTTTTAATATAGTTTTAATAAAACCAGACATTTTTCCTTCTAAAATAATTGAATGTTTTTTTTATAGAATTAATATTTTTGAGACTTTGGAAGTCGAAAATGTTTGGTATTATAATGTAGATTATAATAACTTTTAATTTATAAGGAAAATGACTGGAGTTGTTCTGTATCATTATTTTAATCTACATAATTTATACCTATATTAAAATTTCCCATAATTGTTATTACATTATTATTGATTTTTTTTTTTTAATTAGACTTGTAATAATAAACATGCTGAAATATACATATACTGATATAAATATATACACATACATACATATTTATATGTGTATACATCATATTTATGTATTATGATTTTAGTAAACTATTTGTTAGGTATAAATGTATATGTTATGATGCCATAATTTGTATTCTTTTCTTATTGAAACTCAAAAAATGATTATACAATATTTTTTTTTCTATAATTATTATTATTATTATTATTATGATTATTATTACTATCATTAATTTATATTTGTCATTCTTTAGTATATTAATTAAAATTAATTTTGTTTTATTTTACGTTTAACTTTAAAAAATGAACATCACTTTTAACATCACCACAACAACAATGAAAGATTGTCATCCATAATATTTATGTCGTGGTTAACTGTATATATAGGCTATATTATTTATATGTTAATTTTTGTAACATTTGATTGAGAATAAAAGTTTAATAATATGTATAATATTATTAGTATAAGAGGCACTTGTGTATCCTGTATTTTCATAAACCAATTTACACCTTTTAAATATTATATTTATATAATTATATTATTTACATAAAATTTCATTTTTAAAAAAGCGGGTATGTGGATAACACCCTGCTGTACATTAGGTGTGTAGGGAGTCACTTGAAAAGATGTGTTAAATTTGAATTCAATGATATAAAATCAGTATATATGTAAAACGATTTTGAGCGAGGAGGGTCTATCAGTGTTTAAAAAACCACTAGCCACTATGCTCTGTTCAAAATAAGATATTACCCTGCGGCCAAGTTGTGCGCATGTGGCTTTGCTCCAAAACACTGGTCTGGCGCAGCAACGTGGTAGGGGATATGTCTTACAAAGTGTCTGATCGCCGCCTAACTAAAACTGGTCACCTTCAGGTAATCATCTTATTTTGAACAGAATGTAGGTAGGTATGTTTTATGATATCACTGTGATTAAAGTAATTTATTTTACTATTACTACAGTAAGGTAAATTCATTTTTGCTGAAAAAATTATTGCATTTTAAAATGTCAATGTGAGTATAAAATATAATAATATACCCACAAATAATATTTTTTAGTTATATTTATTTTTTATCTTGGCTTTAATATTTAATTTTGTCCAAATACGAACTTAAATAAAATGTCTGTAAAATATAACTGTTTATATATAATTTAGATTTTTTAGTTACAGAATTTACTACATATTTGGGACCTTGTTTTAAATTGTCAATCCTTAGCTGATAGTTGAAAATTTTATAATTTTTTGACTACAAAATGATTTGAAAATTTTTGAGATTTTAATATATTTTGTCAAAATTTGAACTTTAAGTGCTTATAAAAAAAAAATTGTGCTTATTGATCTTTAATATTTCCCAACTGCTA